TGTTGCAGTCAGGGGCACCTGGGTGGCTCAGTCGGTTAAGTGTCCCAACTCTTGGTTTTGGCTCAGGTCATGATCTCAAGAGTCGTTGAGATCAAGCCCCATGTCGGGCTCCACGCTGGGCATGGAGTATATTCTCCCCACTTCCCCAACACCCCCCCCCCCCCGGCTTTCTCTCTAAAATCTTAAAAAAAGTTGCAGTCAGTCCGGCTTGAGTTAGCATAATTTCTAGATTCTTGAAAGCTTCAGCTCTCCCAACACTGATTCTGGTTATACTTTTTCCTTGCCTCCTTTGATCTTTAATGGCACACTTACGTTTATTATCATTATAGTTTCCTCCTGCTTTAATTTCAGCGTGCCAGTGTCAGATGTTCTAATTCAGCAGTGTATTCTTAGAACCAGCTTAGAATTATTTCTAGGAATTTTACTAAACCCTTGATTGTTGTTTCTGTAGCAAGTGAAATTAACCTTTGAGTTTTACGTGTTTATTAAGAAAATATGCTTATCTCTAGCCTGTTTTTCCAAACTCACTGTTTTATTTTGCAGGTGTTGGGGTTTAATGTTACTTGGTAATATCAGATTGATTTTTCAGGTGGAAGATGAGCTCAGCTCTCCAGTAGTGGTGTTCAGGTTTTTCCAGGAATTACCAGGCTCAGGTAAGGGATTCTAAAAAGAGTTATTTTTGTACTTGTGTTTAAGGGCTTTGAATTTTAAACCATTTCAACAGATATAGTCTAAAATATTTTGACTGCTAAAATCTTCAGTCATCGTTTCAGAAAATGTTAATAATTTTCAGCCTGATTTTGGCTCAGGTCATGATCTCCACCCTGGGTGTAGAGCTGCTTAAGATTCTCTCCCTCTCCTTCTGTCCCTCCCCACCCCCGCTCTTGTGCATGTTTGCTCTCTCAAAAAAAAAAAAAAAAAAATTTTATAAAAATTTTCACAAAAACTCCCGGCCTAAATGCCTTAGCATTTTACTGATAGTTTCCTGCGATCAAACCAGTGGTTTCCAAATGCCAGTCCCTGGACTAGTGCTAGAATGAATGGGTAAGAGTCCCTTGAAAAGAGAGATCTGGATACATATGTATATACAACCTAGTGAATCAGAGTATCTGAGTTAGGGCCCCCAAATCTCTCTTTTATTTTTTTGTGCTTATCACAGTTTATTTTTTTAAGTAATTTATTTTTATTTATTTTTTTTTTTTTTAAAGATTTTATT